ACTACCACCACCACCACCACCAGCATCGGTAACCTGTCAATAAACACAAAACTGCATTAATACAAACAAACAACTCACAAACCAACAAACAGAACACTAAACAAACATAATAATTTAAGAATTTTTTTAATCGGAAACTAAAAAACAAAAAAAAAAAGGAAATAAGTTAATGAAATCAAAGTCTTAACAAACACACAATATAAATAAATAAAACATGTGTCTAATCAAGCAAACACAAAGTAAACAAATAATGTAAACATACTAACAAACACACCATACTCATGTGCTTGATCTACCATACTTAGGCCCATGTCAGCATCTTGTTCCCGATCGGTGAACAGGGTAGCGAAGGCCAGCATCCCGTAGATAAACAGACCCCACCTGTGAGTGATAGTGATTGACAGTGTGTGACAGTGACATAAAAAGGTACAATAGCAGTGATAGTGAGTGACGGTGACGTAAACAGGTACAATAGCAGTGATAGTGAGTGACAGTGACGTAAACAGGTACAATTTCTATGAGTGGAAGAAGGAAGTATCAAGCATTAGACATAAGAAGGAAGTATCAAGCATTAGACATAGAGAAGAAGAGGTATAAAAAGAGGAGACATATGGGGTTAAGACATAAAGGGAAGATTCTTACAGGTATTTAATGCTCTCCAGCCATAAAACAGCTTGGCGGTAGATGGTGGCCTCGCCTCCCGGTGGCCCCTCCTCGCTGCCAAAGAAGGACGTGTTGCTCTGAGAGGCGCATGACTCGCAGGAGCACTGGGAGTCAGTGGTGCTGCTGTCGGAGGAGCGGTGGCGTCGACGGCGATAGTGACGGAGGGTCCGCACCAGTTCGTACCTGTCTTCAGAGTCCGGTGACATGCGTAAGTCGAGGCGCTATCTGACGACTCTGAATCGCTGTCGTCGTCGTTATCTTCTGGTACTCAGCCGTTTGGATAAATGACCAACAACTCTCTTGACGTTAATATTCGTTCTTGCTTTGTGGTAATGATAGCTGTACTATCCATGGTCAGCTTGAGTTGCTTCCCAGTTGAGTATCCATCTATACTCGTGTAACCGTCTATCTATGTATATATATTATTCAACTATGTATTAATAATGTTTTGTTTTCAGTCATTTTGATTTTAGTTTAACCTTTTATCATCATTTATCTCCGGCTTCACATGAATTTGCCTGTTGTTGTGGCAAGATGTATTTTTACTTTAGAATTTGTTTAATTATAGTTTAAGTTATCTCGTTGTAGAAAGATTTTATGATAGCAGTTTTCTCGTGTCTATATATTTATTTTTTTGGGTTGCAGTGTCTGAAATGGTGGAACTGTGTAGCAGACTTGGGCCAACGGAAGTGTAGTACAGTACTGTGCAGTTTGAGGACGTCATAAAGGTGGACGTTCATTTCACGAGTGATGTAGCAGCTTGAGTGGGAAACAAATGTGTAGATGAGACATGGAGTTTTGTTTTACATAAAAAAAATAATACATTTGTTTGACAAATAATGGATTATCTTTACATAATTCTTTTATTGATTTACCATCATTGTTCTTCATGAGGTTTAGTAAACTATACAAGTCAGAGTTATAAGAACACGAAACCTAACAAAGCAGCATAAACTTTGCTTATATTGTTGATTTGTTGATCATTTAAGACGAAGTCATTCTACTCGACATCAGTTGAAAAGAAAATAATTTAGTTTATATTTCATAGTACTGTACTGTATACTATCTGTGAGTGTTGACACTTATTTCTGAAAATTTGTCTTGGCTTTTTTTTTCAGGTTACTGAGCATCAGTTAGCCCCCATGTGGGTGCCACCTGTCACACTTGAAGCCATTGGTATGTATAATATGCCTTTTTTTGGAGAGGGAGGGATTTAAAAGAGAAATCAGGACCAAGAAAGAATAGATCATGTTAGTAATAATAGTGTAGTTGGATCCTTGCTCATGATAGATACTTGTGGTATATTTTGTATAGAAAAATATTATTGACTTCTTGTTAATTTTATTACTGTGCAACCGTAGCTGTCATGTACAGGTTACAAATATTTTTATTTTAATTGTGATGTAACGGCTTTACTCATTGTAGGGGATATTTTTGAACAGGCTCACTCAACTTTGGCTCATGGGTGAAAAAAAAGTAAAGTTGATAACTTACAATACTTAGGGCTTATAAGTATGAGCTTGTCTCTGAAATGAAAGCTGACCTGAAGTGGGCTGTTGTAACTGTATTTTGGTCTGTTCAACCTTATAGAGAAGCAATGAACGTCTGTACTGTATTTATAATGATGGTCTTATTCAGTACACCCATTATTTATTGGTGTGAAGTACGAATGAACTTCACATTCAGTTTGAAATTCAATATTATCACTTTGGGTCAACTTTTACAACATTTACAGTATATAGTACCAAGTATATGAATCTTATCCCTCAAATAGAATCTTACTGATGATACTAGTTGATTTGAATACTTATAAAATCTAGTAATGTGAAAGACAACTGACTCTGAATCTAAGGTCCATGATTCGATTGCGGGGTAATTAGTGGTCGTAATGATGCTTGGAAAATTTTAATTACACCTTACCCGATGGTGCCCCAGCCCACCATTACCCCCAGCAAACCATGCCTGCGCCTCCTTCACCAGTCTGCCCACCGTTGCTACTTGCAGCACCACCTCGTCCACAACATTTCTTGGTGCCCTCTTTTCATCCTCAGGTACCCACTGCTCTTGGTCCTGCTCCTGATGATCCTGCACCTGGCCCTGTAGACCCAGACATCCCACCCAGCGCCCCCGAGGACTTCGCATCTGCCGCGAGAGAAGCATCACATTCCTCGCTTATTCCTCCCACCGCTCACCCTTCTCATATGTACAACCCTCCCACTCCCAATGCTTTTCCTGCTGATTCTCCCACAGATTATGCGCCATTCGACGGAGTTGTCACTCAGCGGCCGAGTGGTTCGCACCCCTTCCTGCCATGCCTCGCACGTGGGATGCGATTATGCTTACAAGAAGCATCCTGCAGCGCCCGGAGGGGAGGGGAGGGGGAGTATTGTATTGGTTAACTTTCCCTACAGGTGCTTGGCCTACTCGAGCCACCCTCCCTCACTGGCAGCTGTCCTCACCATCAGCCAATCAGCAGCGCCGCTCACACCACGGCCTGCATCCTTGAGTAGGGAGGATTGGATAAATACCCCCCTGCCTCGCCGTAAAGGTCATTCTACTCCGCCTTCTCCACCTGACAACACCAACTCTCTTGAAGCTCCTCAACCACACAACTCTCCACCAACCTACAGCATTGTATATACAATATACGTTGGGTTAAGACAATTTTGAGTTTCCTTTCTCACCTCCATCCTGAGTGCAAGATTTCCTTTAAGTTGCATGTGTATGTGGACCTAAAAGAGAAAATAGACTAAAGTGCACCCCAAATACAGGCTCCAGTGCTCTTGAACATGCTGATTCCGAATTTATAGTCCACAATTCGATTGCGGGGTAATTATTGGTTGTGATGACTGGAATATTTTAATTAAAGGGGCCCCATGGGATTACCAGGGGGCCATAGAGGAGTACAAGAGGGCTTACCATGCTTCCATGGGACTACCGGGATGCCCCCTGGGGCCCTGCCAGGCCCCCAGTGGACTACCAGAAGGCCCCCCAGGGGCCCCATGGTATTACCAGGGCTAAAGGCCCCAGGGGGCCCCAGGGGCCTTAGCAAAGCCAGGGGTCAGAGGTCATCCCAGAAGTGTGGGTGCTCCCATGGAACCTCCTAGGGGCGTTGGCGACCCCAGGAGTCCTTCCAGGGGCGGTAGTGCCCCCAGGGGCTCTCCCAGCGATGGTGACGCACCCAGGGGCTCTCCCAGCGATGGTGGCGCACCCAGGGGCCTTGTCAAGAGCGGCAGCGTCCCAGCGGTCCTCCCAGGGGTAACAGCACCCCTAGAGGCCCTCCCTGGGGCCACGGCGCCCCAGAGGCTTCATCCTGGTGTCATATATATTGCATGAGTCCAGCAATCCCTTACTTAACTGTGATTGGTGGACTAAAATGTAAATCCACCAAATTACAGCCAAAAGGAGAACAGAGCAATCAGTCAGCACAACACCCCAACTTATGTTTTCCTGTTGGAAATAAAATCTACTTTTCATGGTTCAGGTTGTGATGACACTAGAAATATGATGGAAGGTATATTTATTTAACGTTATATCTCTCGGATATATAAATAGTGCAAACACAACTGCTAACAAAGACCTTCCAGGGGCGATGTCGCTGCCAGGGATTCTCTCGGGAGTGGAGGCGTTTCCAGGGGCCCTTGCAAAAGCGACAGTGCCTCCAAGGGACCTCCAGGGACAGTGACGCCTGCAGAGACTGTTCCAAGGGCGGTGACGCCCCCAGGGGCCCTTGCAGGGCGGTGATGCCTGCTGTAGCCACGGGGGCCCTCCCATGGTCGGCGAGAGCTCTCCGTGATGCTGTGGCAACCCCAGGGGAACGCCCAGGTGTAGTGGTGACCCCAGGGACCCCCCAGGAGTAATGGTGACCACAGGGACACCCCCAGGTGTGGTGGTGACCCCAGGTACTCCCCCAGGGGCGACGGTTGCATCACAGGCTTTCCTTAAGGGTAGCGGCGACCCCAGGGGTCCTTACACAAGGTAGTTGCGCACCCAGAAGCCCTCTCAGGGGCAGTGGCGCCCCAAGGAGCCCTTCCAGGGACGGTAGCGCCCCCAGGGGTAATTACAGGAAGGTGGTGCACCCAAGGGACATCCCAGGGGCGGTGGCGGCCCCAGGAGCCCTTCCAGGGACGGTAGCGCCCCCAGGGGTAATTACAGGAAGGTGGTGCACCCAAGGGACATCCCAGGGGCGGTGGCGGCCCCAGGAGCCCTTCCAGGGGCAGTAGTGCCCCCAGGGTCGGTGGCGCACCCAGGGGCCTTCCCCAGCATCCCCAGGGTTCCTCCCAGGGGTAACAGCACCCATAGAGGCCCTCTCTGGGGCGACGGCGCCCCAGAGGTTTCATCCTGGTGACATATATATTGCATGCGTCCAGCAATACCTTACTTAGCTGTGATTGGTGGACTAAAAATTAATCCACCAAATTATAACCAATTGGAGAACAGAGCAGGGCTCATGGGGGCGCCGCCGTCGCTGCGAGGGTCCCTTGGAGCGTTGCCATCCCTCAGAGGCCCATGGAAGCTCGGCTGTTCCTGGAGGAACCCCTGTCGACGCCGCCTTCCCTGAGAAGGCTTCTAGGATTGCGGTTGTCCCTAAGAGCGCCCCTAGTGGATCCAGCGCCCCTGACAGGTTCCCTGGGGCCACCGCCGACCCTGAGAGGGCCCTCGGGACGCCTCCGTGCCTTGCATGGCCAAGTGACCCTCACAGGGATAGCGGCGATCCCAGCGACCCTTACAGGGACGGGGGCGCCTTAAGGGGTGTTCCCACGGACGGCGGCGCCCCCAAGGGCCATACCACAGAGTTGGCGCATTCAGTGGCACTTCCAGAGGCGATGTCTCACCCAGGGTCCCCTTATGGGGCGCCTCTGCCCCAAACGACCAGGCCAAGGGCTGCAGCGCCCCTATGGGCCCTCCTAGGGCCCTCAGCGCTGGTATGGGCCCTCCTAGTCATAGTGGGTGCCTTTCCAGGGGCGTCAGGGTCTCCACCAGGGGCGACGGCGCCCCCAGGGACCCTTCCACAAGCAGCATCGCCCTAAGAACTTCATATTTTTGTCTTACATTTTGCATTCGTCCAGTAATCCCTTACTTAACTGTGATTGGTGGAGCAAGATGTAACGTCATCAAATTACAGCCAATAGGAAAACAGAGCAACCAGTCAGCACAACACCCCAACTTATGCTTTGCTGTTGGATATTTATTTTCGTTTCACTATTTTAAACTCTGGGAGATATGACGTTAAATAAATAGACACTGCCCATAGCATTTTCAGTATTTTCGCAACCTGAACAATGAAAAGGAGAATAAATATCCAACAGCAAAACATAAGTTGGGGTGTTGTGCTGACTGATTCCTCTGTTTTCCTATTGGCTGTAATTTGATGACGTTACATCTTATTCCACAAATTACAGTTAAGTAAGAGATTACTGGAAGAATGCAATATATACTACACCACTATCCAATGTATTGGGGCACTGCCTCCCCTAGGAGGACCTATTGTGAGCCACAGGCCTTGGCAGGATCCCTGGGAGCAGTGGCGCCCCATAAAGAGGCCTGGGGGAGCCACCGCCTCTGGAAGGGCCCCTGAAGGCGCCACCGCCGCTGGCAGGGCCTCTGGGAGCACCACGGTCCCTAGGAACGTACCTAGAGGCGCCTCTGTCCCAGGGAAGGCCCCAGGGATCAAGGCTGTCCCTGTGAGGGTCCCTAGGGTCGCTAGCGCCCCTAGGGTAGCTAGCGCCCATAGCAGGGCCCATGGGGCCGACGCCGTCCCTGTGAATGTCCCTAGGAGCGTTGCCGTCCCTGCGAGGGTCCCTTGGAGCGTTGCCATCCCTCAGAGGCCCATGGAAGCTCGGCTGTTCCTGGAGGAGCCCCATTCGACGCCGCCTTCCCTGAGAAGGCCTCTAGGATTGCGGTTGTCCCTAAGAGCGCCCCTGGTGGATCCAGCGCCCCTGACAGGTCCCCTGGAGCCACCGCCGACCCTGAGAGGGCCCTCGGGACGCCTCCGTGCCTTGCATGGCCAAGTGACCCTCACAGGGATAGCGGTGATCCGAGCGATCCTTACTGGAACGGGGGCGCCTTGAGGGGTGTTCCCAGGGACGGCGGCGCCCCCAGGGGCCATACCACAGAGTTGGCGCATTCAGTGGCACTTCCAGAGGCGATGTCTCACCCAGGGTCCCCTTATGGGGCGCCTCTGCCCCAAATGACCAGGCCAAGGGCTGCAGCGCCCCTATGGGCCCTCCTAGGGCCCTCAGCGCTGGTATGGGCCCTCCTAGTCATAGTGGGTGCCTTTCCAGGGGCGTCAGGGTCTCCACCAGGGGCGACGGCGCCCCCAGGGGTCCTTCCACAAGCAGCATCGCCCTAAGAACTTCATAGTTTTGTCTTACATTTTGCATTCGTCCAGTAATCCCTTACTTAACTGTGATTGGTGGAGCAAGATGTAACGTCATCAAATTACAGCCAATAGGAAAACAGAGCAACCAGTCAGCACAACACCCCAACTTATGCTTTGCTGTTGGATATTTATTTTCGTTTCACTATTTTAAACTCTGGGAGATATGACGTTAAATAAATAGACACTGCCCATAGCATTTTCAGTATTTTCGCAACCTGAACAATGAAAAGGAGAATAAATATCCAACAGCAAAACATAAGTTGGGGTGTTGTGCTGACTGATTCCTCTGTTTTCCTATTGGCTGTAATTTGATGACGTTACATCTTATTCCACAAATTACAGTTAAGTAAGAGATTACTGGAAGAATGCAATATATGCGACACCACTATCCAATGTATTGGGGCACCGCCTCCCCTAGGAGGACCTATTGTGAGCCACAGGCCTTGGCAGGATCCCTCGGAGCAGTGGCGCCCCATAAAGAGGCCTGGGGGAGCCACCGCCTCTGGAAGGGCCCCTGAAGGCGCCACCGCCGCTGGCAGGGCCTCTGGGAGCACCACGGTCCCTAGGAACGTACCTAGAGGCGCCTCTGTCCCAGGGAAGGCCCCAGGGATCAAGGCTGTCCCTGTGAGGGTCCCTAGGGTAGCGAGCGCCCATAGCAGGGCCCATGGAGGCGCCGCCGTCCCTGTGAGGGTCCCTAGGAGCGTTGCCGTCACTGCGAGGGTCCCTTGGAGCGTTGCCATCCCTCAGAGGCCCATGGAAGCTCGGCTGTTCCTGGAGGAGCCCCTGTCGACGCCGCCTTCCCTGAGAAGGCCTCTAGGATTGCGGTTGTCCCTAAGAGCGCCCCTGGTGGATCCAGCGCCCCTGACAGGTCCCCTGGAGCCACCGCCGACCCTGAAAGGGCCCTCGGGACGCCTCCGTGCCTTGCATGGCCAAGTGACCCTCACAGGGATAGCGGTGATCCGAGCGATCCTTACTGGGACGGGGGCGCCTTGAGGGGTGTTCCCAGGGACGGCGGCGCCCCCAGGGGCCATACCACAGAGTTGGCGCATTCAGTGGCACTTCCAGAGGCGATGTCTCACCCAGGGTCCCCCTATGGGGCGCCTCTGCCCCAAATGACCAGGCCAAGGGCTGCAGCGCCCCTATGGGCCCTCCTAGGGCCCTCAGCGCTGGTATGGGCCCTCCTAGTCATAGTGGGTGCCTTTCCAGGGGCGTCAGGGTCTCCACCAGGGGCGACGGCGCCCCCAGGGGTCCTTCCACAAGCAGCATCGCCCTAAGAACTTCATAGTTTTGTCTTACATTTTAGTATTTCTGCCCAGTAATTTTAATGTGATTAATGTCATCACCAGCAGTTAAACAACATTTTGTCTGCGCTTTGCTGTTGGATATTTATTTTCGTTTCACTATTTAAAACTCTGGGAGATATGACGTTAAATAAATAGACACTGCCCATAGCATTTTCAGTATTTTCGCAACCTGAACAATGAAAACGAGAATAAATATCCAACAGCAAAACATAAGTTGGGGTGTTGGGGTGTTGTGCTGACTGATTCCTCTGTTTTCCTATTGGCTGTAATTTGATGACGTTACATCTTATTCCACAAATTACAGTTAAGTAAGAGATTACTGGAAGAATGCAATA